GATTCTTCTAGGTGGCACTAGTTTTCACATTTTACGTACGCCATTTTTCGGTGTGTCCTTTTGAGTTTCGACGCTACTAATAACCGATGACTTTAGAGCTTTTTGATTACCTGCTTTTTACAATAAATACGTATAAGTTCCGGGTATAAGAAAAAAATACGAGAATTAAGAGAACCCTCTTTTTATTATCATTATTAGAACCCTCTTTTTATTATCATTATTAGAATCCCCTTTTTATTACCATTAATGAATTTTTATATTTGCAAACGGCGATTTGAAATCGTCGAAGGTAAAAAAATAGTATGTGGAGAACTGACAGAATTGTACTTAGTTTCAGTGATGATTGTTTTTGCACTCCGTTTCAATTAAATGGAAGAGTCTATCAGGTTTAATAATGTGTCGGCTACTGTTTCATAAAAGAGAGAGAAAATCCGAGGGGTGGAAGAACGGAGTATTAATTTTTTGCATTTTTATTATTTTTATTTTTATCTCGTGGAAGAATAACGTTAAATGAAATCGACCGACAGTTTTCGTTCAACAAATACTAACCTTATTGTTTTAGGAGGTAAATTCACCAAGAGGGTCGACACTTTGAACAGTAATTTTCATCCCTCGACCCAGTGTCATTTTACATCAAGGTGCTTGAAACGCCAGTCGGTATCCTGAAGGGGTAGAGAATTTGATTAGCCCCCCTCCTCATTCCCTTGAATAATTGACGAGGTGCTGAGTTTTAAAGTCGAAATAAGGCTGCAAAATGAACCAGGTCAAAACGTGGTTGGACTTAAAATTGCTGTCATCTTCTCCTCTGCCATTGCTTGCCAAAGGATCTGCCTTTCCTCTGCTCCCTGAGCATTACATTGTTCAATTTCAAAGAATACTTTCACCGGTAAAATTCCACGGAGAGAAAAAAATCGTTGCTCTAACAATGTCGAGGTCCTGCCCACTTCTCTAGTCGAAGTATACAGGGTGATCCACGGTGAAACGGCAAGGTTGTAGGAGCGTGTTCTATGGGTCAAAATAAGACTCTTTTTTTGTATGAAGTTTTTTTCCAAAAGTGTTCCCAGTCGGAGCTACGCCCCCTCCCCCCCAAAAAAAAATCGGAAAGTAAAAAGTTTTTCCTGAATTTTGGCAACGGTTGAGAACCAAATCTCATGAAAATTTGTACTGCCCAAAACAATTATGCCCTGAATTCTAAAATGATCTAAAAAAATCTAATGTTTAATTGTGTGTATCATCTAAGCTCTTTCTGGTATGCTCTTTTTGCATCTGCCTGTAACTCAAGAGAAATATACGTGAATCTTAAAGATCACAGGACTTAATTGATGGAGCGAGAAATGCTAAAATAACTAAGAAAAAAGTCTTTGAACTTTACAAATTATTTTGAATGAAATGCTGCGTCCCATAACTGGAAGGGCAAATCGTTAATTTGGGATGGTTTCTTTTGTTAGGCCCATAAAAACTTACAAGCAGACTTTAGCGAGCTTTAATAAGCGTCTCCCCTCTTTCGGCGAGGCTGAATTTAGTACTTTTGTCTAGCTCATATTTTTATTACAAATTTAATCAAACCTCCTACCATGACCTTCTTTTTATTGAGACAGCTCAGCTTTTCTCCGATGCCCATCACTTATTCTTTCGTGCAAATGTCGTACCTTTCCCGTTCATCCATGCATACGCACCATACTTTTGATGGCAAGTATTTCCTTGGCCTAGTAAAATAATCTGAATGAAAAAATGTTTTTATTATTTTATGCTGAGCCAAAGATTTTGATCATCTAAATTTGGTACCGTGATCAATGTAGGCCGTTTTATTTGATTCATGAAACCTCACTTTCGACTCTCGTAATCATCCTTTCGGTTTATGGACCGGAAATTCAAACCGAGTTGCAGAGACGGATTCATAACATAAACCGAGGGCACAGTTACATGATTCAAACAGTCTATGCGATACTGAAAACCATGCTACGATTTAAAGAACCGAGCTGTTTTCTCCACGTAAATATGACCCAATATTTTAGGTGTATTGAAATAAAGAAGAACGAGGCTTCACTCACAAATAATGCGTTTGTCGAAGCAATAAAGGAGTAAGTTCAACACCATTGGATCAAAGTTTTATATGCTTCATTTCTGTACGTGATTTATCATACGATGCATAATCGCAAACATTATCAACGCGGGAAATGAATTATCTAAGAAAACTATCAAAAAATAAGGGGACGGCAGGTCTCGATTCCATCATTATTTTTTTTCTCCGCGTAGAGGCGCAACTATTGGATGATTTGACCTTATACAGTAAATTGGTGACTAAAGTAGAAAAATGCTTATCTTTGGTTAAGACCTCGTATATTTATTGGAAAGTTGTAAATTGTTTGATTTTATTACAAGAAAACTAACCATAAGTTTTTCTAAAAAAAATTCTATGAATTTTTCACTCTCATTCAAATATATTAAAAAAAAAATCAAAGGAGACATTTCGGTTGGTTTTCTCTTAAAAAAATAAGTTGTCGGGGCTTTTGAAACATTGCAATGAGCAATAAAGATACGTATTTTCGACTATCGTCAACGAAATTGTTTATCAAAATACCAAATCAATGTCCATATGAATATCATACCTCATAGCAACAAGCTTTACACGATTTTATCCTCATTATTTTGTTTTTTCTTGTACATTTTTTCCTTTTAAAAAAATTCTGTTGCTCAAAATGACAATAAGTTTGGCTCTGTGTCCGAGATTTTTTATGACGGTCTTGAGCATAGCCTCGAGTAAGGAATGTCACGTCACACCGAGCTCTCTTTCCGCAAAGCCTGAAAATTTGCATTAAAAAAGACATTATCATAATTTTGGGAGGTTTTAACGATAAACGCCCTCCCCATCTATGAAAAAATTCCAGGATTAACCTCAATGCATCGTCGTTCATGATTATTACCGCACTGTGGCCTCTGTGCAGCGCTTGAATGAAGCACGGTTATAAATATACCCCTTGTCAGCTTATAAAAAGACCACTTGCATGGAGAGAGAGAGCGTCATGATTCGTTCCCAGGGAGAGCGAATTAAAATGCAAAGCAGGTGGGTATTTCAACATTATTTTCACGGCACGCTCGTAGTTTGGGCGGGAGGGGGATTGGGAAAAGGAGTAAAGATGCTTTGATTGTAATTTTTCAAGAGCAAAATAAAAATATGGGGAGATGTATACAATCCTAACAGTTTCAAAGCCATAAAAATTAAAACTCTTGGCCGGGAAATAAATGGGAGTGTCTCTGTCTTTGTAAAGCAATCATGAACTACTGCCAACAATAGATGCATATCCGTGGTATGATCCTATTTCCATTATTGCCACTTTGGTTCGGGGCATTGTATGGCAGGTTGGGATCATAAAGTCCAATAGTACTTTGTATGACTACATCGGTAATAAAATATCGCCCGTTCTCTTTGAGTCAAATCCATATTAGACTTAATGTGAGATGTATATTTTGATCGGAAAATCGAGTCCAACTCCTCGTTGAAAACTAGGATCACCAGACACAATTCAGCTCCTCGTTTATCGGACAACCAGAATTTATGCTATAATCCCTGTTTGTCTCAGATAAAATGGAAACGAGAGGCGTCCCTTTAAAGTCAATGATTTTCTAAAGATGATTTTAAAGTGAGACTAAGCATATAACCGGTCTCAAAAATTGAAGGAGCTCAATAAATTCTTGCAAAAAAACACTGCTCAGTAAAATTATTCTTTTTTATGAAAATTCTGAAGATATGCTAAGTTGAATATCTTAAAAAGGTCAATCATTTCCCGGTCTTGTGTTTTCTCAAATTATTAAAAATTCAATTAAATGCTTGTGTTCTCTTTGCTGTGCAAACAAAAAGTTGAAAAAACCTTGCCAAACATTCCTTTGAAAAACAAATTAAGTTCTATCGGGAGGAAACTCATTTGCACGGACGAGAAAAAATACTCTCTGCTAAAGAGAAAATTGAGAGAGCGAAAAATGTATCTTTGCATCTTCTGACAAGTTAAATGGAGGAAATGATGTTTTCTTTCCTTTCCCTATTCTCTCGGTTTGCCTATTACTTTCATAACTTCCCTCTCAACGGATAATTGAATCATTTAGACGTTAGTGTCAATATCGAAAGGAAGAATAATTGCTCGTAACAATTTTCAATTACTTTTCAAGTTTTAAGATTTAAGAGAGGGCTTTAAGAATCCATCAAGAGGGAAAAATGAGAAAATAAAAAATATCTGCTTCGGCCCATATCCAGTTGTACCGGTATGATTTGTGACATCGGACCTCTTAGTTTGAATTAAATGTAATTTACTTGTCAACAAATACGACAGCCACATCAACCACATCGATGACAGCAACCACAACAAATACACCGAACACATTAGTCACATGCAACACAGCAAATACATGAAATACAAAATTCAAACTGAACGAATAACACACGACCAACATATCAGAAAGCAAAAATGCAATTATTTTGGCTCCTGAATGGCTCAAAATAATTGTGTAACACCAAATACAAGCACGCTCATTTTTTTCAATTTTCTTGACGGATGACTATATGGACCGAGTTCATCAGAAAAGAACCAACCCACATTAAGTTGAAACTGAGAAAAACGGGTTTGAAGTTTTATTCCTACATAAGGCTATAATAAATAAACTAAATAAATATAATAAATAATCAAAATAAACTTTAGCCCCTCTTTTCGCAAACTGATTTCTTGTTTTCGACCTCCAGTTTTTGGCATGAGGAGAGTGGAACTCATAAACATTCTTAACTCAATTTTTTCGAAAATGTGGGTTGGTTCTTTCCTGATGAACTCGGTCCGTATGAACTTGAGTCAATCTTTTTCCCAAGACTTTTTGATATTTTAACATTCTTCAAAAGTGAAGCATTTTTTCAAAAATCATTTCAGGCATATGTAACGAAATCTCGTATTCGAATTCATTTTTTTGGTGAGATTTATAAAATCAATGAATGACGACAAATGACTTATTTGTTTCAGATAATGGAACCGTAGCTCTGCGCTCAGGAAGAGGGACAGGATGCGAGCACTTGCCGAGTGTAATCTACACGCCATCGTATCATCAAGTGAAAGTGCAGCTTAGGTGGCTTTTCCCCCTCCACGTATACGGATGGTCTTGCGTTTTTTTCATCCTAGCTCTCTACGCCTTTTTCTCATTTCTCAATATTAGGTTAGTTTTTACCCTCTTTTTTAATAACATTCATTTTTGAATCAGTGAGAACGAAAACACACCAACTCTGTAACTCGGAAATGCTCAATTTCCATTAAATAGGTACAGTTAATTGACATTAAGGTCATTGAACGTTAGCGTGTCTGGTCTAACTTTGACCTTTAAAGTGTCCAAAAGTACTCGTCTTTCTGCAACACAAATATTTTTCTCAAACTAACTTCTTCACCTACTGTGCAGTTTTGTGTATGTCTTGATTATTTTCATTCTTCCGAGTTGGTGTGTTTTCGTTCTCACTGTTTCATTTTAATTCAAGGTAAATCTGTACCTAAAGTATACGATCATCGAGATATTAAATACATGTAGCTGAAACAATCCTTCAAAATGCTTGTCACCACACCGATGAGCACTGCGCAGTGGTGCCAATATTTCAATGATGAGTTGAGTGGCGTCGCAAGTAAATCAGGCATACCTGGAACCGAAAGAACCGGCAAAAACCACCAGAGTGAAGCTCGATTTAACTTCATAGCCTCTTAGGCGTAAGGTTTACATCCTCCCTTAGTAATTACTTATTTGCTGAATGTAATTTGCCGAAACGCACCAGAAGAAGACGGCCACACCCGTAAACATAAGGAAAGAAAAAGGTTGCACCTATTTAGGACTACCGCCGAGCCAATGTCAATTTTAATATCCATAGTGCGCAGGGCTCTCTGAGGATAATCACCCCGAACCTAGCCTCTAAACGACCGGATTCAACCCACAATTTTTCCGCTGAAAAGATAAGCTCTCCCTTAAAAGGCTCAACGAGGATATGACCAGTTTGCTTTTCGCTGTACTTCCTCGGCACCAAGGTCCCTTTTCCCGGATGGCCGACCACAAATTTCGTTCCTTGCAGCAGGTCATGCGCCTAAAATAATCCATCACCACCGTTCGAAATTGAAGGGAAGTTGACATTGTTTGAGTGGAGAGATAAAACCCTTAGCCTGTGTAAGCTATCGAGGGTTTAACGAATTGAACGTATTTCTGGCAAACGGAACTATGTGCATTATGACGTGAGCCCTGTTATGCATGTATTCTTATGGGTCTCAGGGCTCATGTCTTAATGCACTTAGTTCCGTTTGGCAGAAATACGTCCGATTGTTTTGATTAATCTGGACCCGGCTGTTGAGGACGAGGTACGGAGCCGAGACTGTGTGTTTATCATTAAAGGAACCCTAAGATCTCGTCTCTCATTTGCAATTTAATTGGGGGCCGCCTGAGCCCGGTTTGTTTTTGTCAATTTCCCCCGAAAGTAAAGCCGATTGAAGCATGACGGATGACCCCGAGCTGAAGCTGACCCGTCCTGGGTGATGTCGAGGGAAGTTATTTTCGATAAATTCACTTCGCAGCTTAGCGCCACTTCTTCGTGGAACTTATAAGCCACGGATCAGAGAGAGAAGGACACGGATCGTGTGATATTCGCGGAAAATTCCAGCGTGACGTCAATGCTCCCGTGCTACGAAAAAACGCAGTATGAACCATCAGGCGTTGCTAAATTTCTTCTGGCAAATCACTAATAATCAGGAAAATTTTTGAATGTTTGTCCACCAGTTTCTAAGATAACTTTTCTTGTAATCTGATCTGAAACTTCTAAAACTCTCAAGGAATAATATTCTTAATTTTCCTCCAAAATAAACGTTTTATCGAAGGAAATTTGGCAACTCTCGAATTTTCATACGGAGCAGCGGCGCTCTTCCTTAGCACGGCAGAATGTTACTGCTGTGCTAAAGGGAAACACCGTATGAGTACTCGAATGCTGCCATTTGAACTTAAATTTTGGATAAATAATAGTAGAATTGGAAACATGTTGGTAAATTTTGCGTGAAATTCTGCGTAAAAATTGTGTGTTCGTCCGGAAAACACGCCCATAATCATGGATTGTCGAGAAAATTTGGTTTTTACCGACATAAATATGCCAACGTCCGAATGTTCATGCAGTGTGCTTCCATACCACAATAGATTAGACGTCTTACGTGTTACTGAATGCTGAGAGGATGATGTAATTCTTCTGCTTTCGAAATTTGGTCAAAGTTTTATGCACACTTTTTGCAAGTACATTGCAATACTGATCTGCCGTTTATTTTTGTCTTTATCTTGTGGAAATATTGTGGATTTTTTTTTTTTTTTATCTTTGGAGATAATTTCCAAACATTTATAAATCAACAACAATTCGTGCTTAATGGATTTCCGTGTTGCATCAGCAAACTTGAAGGCGCGATAGCGCGAGGCGTGAACTCGCAACTTTCCACTCTATGCTGCCAATCACGGCTTTCAATAATTGAGAAGAAAAGACGCTTAGTGGTATTTCGAGTAGGATCTCAAGTTTAACAGAAAGTTTACAAACAGAGATACGCATTTACGCAGTTTCACCATCGAAATGTGAAATCATCACCAGTTATAGTCAAGTTCCTTTCGATTTACAAATGTCACCAATTCTCTTTGTACTTTGAACAACTGTGCGTCGCTTTAATTTCCGCATTGTTCAAGATCTTGTCTCCGAGATAGAGAAACCAGACGCAAATTGAACTTGCTGACTGACATCGCGAAATGCAAAAGCTTAGCTTCCGCGTGCTTGTAAAAGCGGCCTCATCAAACCAAGCTGAACCCAGCCCGGGTTTGGAGGCAGAAGCATTCGGCTGAGGTTTGAATCGACCCCAGTCCTTCCCGGACCCGGAAGCTCCATGGAATGTTTTCATTCCAGCGCGAACTTTAAGTTCATGTTCGAACACGAGTTCAAACAGCACTTACTCATGAATGCAAGCACATTTGGCTGCCAGTTGCAACGCTCATNTATTAGAAATATTTTTCTTTGGAATGTTTAGGTGAATTTGGCGTAACATTCTGCGTAAAAAGGAAAGAAAAATCGCGTGTTCGTTCGGAAAACACGCTCATATACATGGATTGTCGAGAAAATTTGGTATTTACCGACATAAATATGACAACGTCCGAATGTTCATGCAGTGTGCTTCCATACCACAGTAGCTTAGATGTTATACGTGTCACTGAATGCTGAGAGGATGATGTAATTCTACTGCTTTCGAATTTTGGCTAAAGTTGTATGCACATTTTTTACAAGCACAGTGCCAAACTGATCTGCCGTTTATTTTAGTCTTTATCTTGTGAAAGTATTGTGGATTTTTTTTATTTTTGGAGATAATTTCCAAACATTTATAAATCAACAACAATTTGTGCTTAATGGATTTCCGTGTTGCATCAGCAAACTTGAAGGCGCGATAGCGCGAGGCGTGAACTCGCAACTTTCCACTCTATGCTGCCGATCACGGCTTTCAATAATTGAGAAGAAAAGACGCTTAGTGGTATTTCGAGTAGGATCTCAAGTTTAACAGAAAGTTTACAAACAGAGATACGCATTTACGCAGTTTCGCCATCGAAATGTGAAATCATCACCAGTTATAGTCAAGTTCCTTTCGATTTACAGATGTCACCAATTCTCTTTGTACTTTGAACAACTGTGCGTCGCTTTAATTTCCGCATTGTTCAAGATCTTGTCTCCGAGATAGAGAAACCAGACGCAAATTGAACTTGCTGACTGACATCGCGAAATGCAAAAGCTTAGCTTCCGCGTGCTTGTAAAAGCGGCCTCATCAAACCAAGCTGAACCCAGCCCGGGTTTGGAGGCAGAAGCATTCGGCTGAGGTTTGAATCGACCCCAGTCCTTCCCGGACCCGGAAGCTCCATGGAATGTTTTCATTCCAGCGCGAACTTTAAGTTCATGTTCGAACACGAGTTCAAACAGCACTTACTCATGAATGCAAGCACATTTGGCTGCCAGTTGCAACGCTCATTCAAGCTCAGGCGGCGCACATTGGGTCGAGTCAATAGGGGAGGTCGGACAAAATTCGGAAACTTTAAACGCGTATAACTCCGTTTATACAAAACTTTGAGCTTCTAAAAGTGACTCCATTGGTTTCATCGTAAAATTTTCTACTCAAAGTACCCCTAAAAGTTTAAAATGTGACGAAATAAACATTAAAATTCGCAGTTTTAGTCAAAAATTTCATGTCCGACCTCTCGATTTGACTGAATCCACTGTGCGGCGGGTGGATTCTCCTCAAAATAGGGCCTTCGCTTCCCGCACATTACAATTCCTCTTTTCCCTCTGAAATATTTGCAGGCTCATTTTTCGTCTGGAATAGGAAGGCTAGAGATAAAATGGTCTACATTTTGCAATAAAAAACTACTATTTGTGGCTCGCCCACAAAAGCAGCTATCTGCGTGGAGAAACTAATGGCATATGCGGAGTTTATAAAATGAACCAGATATTGTAGTTCCCTATTGCAAAATTTCGACCAAATATCAATGGTGAAACTACTGAACCGCGGGTTTCGATTGCGATGTTTCAAGATTGCCGCTTGGATTTTATTTTTACAGGAGGACACTGTTCGACGTTTTTGCACATAATTTTCTGAGAGTGTTGCTGAGAGAGCGGAGTAAAATCAAGTGAAATTTTGTGCAAACACGAAGATTCTCTCCTTGAGAGAGTAAAATGAGATGAGAGATTTACAACGTCGCAAAACGAGATACACGGATTGGTACTTTCACCATCGATATTTTTGGCTCCCCGCAACTCAAGCGGAGTATGAAGTAGTTATTTTCAAGGATTAAAGATTGTCGACTGTATACATAATTTCCAGAGCCAAGAGGCTTTCCGGTCAGCATGTTTTTGTGCAAAACTCGATTAAAAAGGTTGAATTGTATGATCTCGCCGAAGATTCTTTGAATGTCAAGCCCCCTCCTTTCTGATAAAATCTACCAGTAGTCTGAGATATTAAAAAAAAAAAAAAAAAACACGATGGAAAATTCTAGCACCATTTTTGCAACTATATATAAACGCGCAAGAAATTTGGATTCCGGACATTCATTCGAGGAATGTTTTGGGATGAGGAAAATAAAAATGATAAATGTTCAACGAGTATCTTTATAGAGATTACTTATCATGAGCA